GTGGGGACCGGTTTTGGGAGGTGCCAGAGGTCTCCAGTCCCCAGTTTCAGCTGTAGCTGGCTGCCCGTGGCTCGTAAGCATCTGCTTTGTGGTTTCCTCAGCTTGGGCAGTCAATGCTAAAAAAGCTAAAGGTGGGGAGGGGGGAAAAAAAACGGCGCAAAAGAAAACTGTCGTTTTACATCCACCAACTTCTTCCCCCCACCCACCAGGTCCAGCAGAGGCTGCAAACGAGGCGCAGAAGTTTTGTGTTCCCACTCCCTCATCTTGGCACCCTGCTGCAGCTCGAGGGGCAGCAAGCCACGGAGAGAACCTCTCCTGGGAGAGCCTCCACGGGGGCTTGTCCCAGAGGGAAGGGCTTCCACAAACAGGGTCCTTGGGCAGACTCAGAGGTAGCATCAGACAAGACTTTTGTAACTTGATTGTCGTGTGATTCTGGCCTGCCGAAGGCAGCGGGGTGGAAAGGGCACCCTGCAGGGGGGGCAGATGGGACACGGGGGGGGTATTCTCCCCCTGCTCACAGGCTGAGGGTGCCGCTCACCCCAGGCACTGCGACGCTCTGGCAGCGAGTGAGGACGGGGCCCATCTCCTGCGGGGTTCCAAGAAGCTGCCCCTGCTGGCAAAGGCCAGAAGCTGGCTGGGGGCACCACACAGCAACACCAGGCTCTTCCTCCACAGCTCTCCAGGGCCTCCTGTGCCCCGAGCGGGCACCCCAGCGAGCTCCCTGCTGCCAGAGACTCTCACTGAGAGGCCAAGGTCCGACCCGCTGCCGGAGGACCAGAGGCTGCCAGCCACCCACCCCACAGCTCAGGTACAGAGAGGGCTTGTGCTTTTGGCTTTTTAACAGTCCCTGACCTTCCGAACCTGCTTATTCCAAGAAACCTCCTGTTTCAGCTACCCTTAGGACCTACGAGGTGAAGGAGGAAGGGCTGTCAAAACCATTTCTGGAGAGCACGTGGCCCCTAAAAGAGAAGGGCGAGCCCACGCAGCCCAGCCTTCACCTCCAGTGCAGACATGCCAGGCCAGGAGCATTTCAGATAAGGCATCGCAGGTGCTTGGATAGTAAAGCAGTTAGTGTTGACTACAGTACTTGGAGCAGGGGCTGCTGCAGAGGGCATCCCCGGGGCAATGCCAGTTCAGCAGCGCTTGGTGCAGCAGCAGGAGGTGGTTCGGTTTCCCAGACCTCTCCTCCACGCACACCCAGGCTGCCCTGGCTGCCCTTTTTGTTGTGGTTTTTCTTTATTTTTTTGCCCTCCCCTCCCTGGAAAGAGACTTAAAAAGCCCAGGCCTGGACGTGCTGTTTACCCCAGCAAGCAGCCCGAGAGGAGAGGACCCTTGTGCTGTCCCCGACGTGGCAGCAGGCAGGGGATCCGTGGTGCCTGGGCTGGGCAGCGCCGGCGGGGCTCGAAGCAGGGGAGGGCTAGTTGCCATTGCTGATGCTGGAGTTGGCACTGCTGCAGCTCTGCTCATAGGATGGAGGGGCCTCTGCGGGGGGAAGAAAGAACAGGAGTGGTTATGGGGGGTGTTCTGGAGGTTCCCTTCACCCCAGTCGATGTAACTGGTGGGGAGGAAATGGAACTGCTAACACTACACACGTCATGCCTCGGGCACTCTCTCGCCAGGGCCCTACAACCTGCCCTGCTGGAATTTGTGGGGTTTCATGTACACTCACACAGAATCTGAGCCAGCCAGTGCCACCCCTGTCCTGACACCTGCAGGGGTTAGAAACCGCACCTCAAAGTCCTCTTCTGTTTCTCCCCTTCTTTCACAAGCACCCCCATGTAGCCCAGCACCTCCAGATCACAGGTGACCTGTGCCCTGAGGTGACACATCCAGTGTCTGTTACCCCAGTGCCAGCAGATGGATGGCTTTGGGCAGGGCTGTGCTAACAGACACCACCACCCCAGCTGCTGGGACAAGCGTGGCTCAGGAACCCAGCAGGCTGGGATTCCCCAAGCTCTCCCACCCTGGACAGCCTCTCAGCTCCCACCCCCCTGTGTCTTCAGACCAGCTGCAGGCCCACTCCAAGTCAGACAGAAGATTTCAGTTACATCATTTTCCTGGCTCTGCTCCCACCAGCCTCGCCACAAGCCAAGAAGTTTTTCTGTCAGTGGGAGGCTGAAAGCTCATTTAAGAACAGGGAGATCCTCTCACAAGGAGCCCGGGGCAGGCACGGGCGTACACGTGGGAACGGACAGACGGCTGCTACAGCTGTAAGAGGGGACTCCTCTGCAGGCTGAGACAGCCAGAGACATCTCCCAGTCTCCTCTGCCACCAACCCCTGGCAGGCTGACCCCCCGTGCTCCCACCCAGCTCACAGGTGGCAGGAGTCGCCAAGGCCCCCAGCCCGTTCAGATCCCGGGCGAGGGCTGCTCACCGTAGGGGTAGCCCCACGTGCTGTACTCCGGAGGCAAAATGAGGGAGCTGGCCGTGGGCACGGGCACCACGTTCCCCTCGGCGTAGTAGGGGACGGTGGCTCCCGTGGAGAGGCAGAGCGTGGGGTGGCTCGGGGAGCCCGTCTGCTCCGAGTCCGCCCGCGTCTCCTGGAAGCTCAGTCCTGGGGCGTAGCTGAAGGGCTGCTGCTGGGAATGGCTTTTGGTGGGGAGGGGGCCA